GACTTTGTTATCTCGAGATGTCTTATGTCTTTTGTCGTTGGGAGTACTGTGTCTCAATTTCATATACCCTACATCTCAATTATTCATAACTTTTGATAGTCTCTGAAATCTGTTTAATGTGGCCAATTTTATTCATACAAAGAATTTGGCGTTTATGCCATAACTTTTGATAGTCTCTGAAATCTGTTTAATGTGGCCTATTTTATTCATATAGGGAATTTGGCGTTTATGCCAGAAATTTTGATAGTCTCTGTAACTTTTTTAATGTGGCCTATTTTATTCATATAAGGGAATTTGGCTTTTATGCCAGAAATTTTGAAAGTCTCTGTTATTTTTTTAATGTGGCCCTTTTTATTCATATGGAGAACTTGCCGGTTATGCCAGAACTTTTGATAGTCTCTATTATACACAACTCTTAAGACTCGGAATGATTAAAAGCTTGACATATTGCAAAGACAATTGCTGACGACCTTGTTATCTCGATATGTCTTTTGGGCTTTTGTCGTTGGGAGTACTGGGTCTCAATTTCATATACCCTACATCTAAATTATTCATAACTATCACTTTCAACAAAATGATTCTTTAAGGAAGTCTACTTTCAAAGAATTTTTTCTCATGAACCAAAACTGTTAATTCTTTTATAGCAAAAAGAGAACAATGTATTATTATCTTCCAGATCTTATCTTTTGCTCAAAAAACATACTTTTTACAAATGGAAGATTACCTTATACTTGATCCCTCTGTACCCTAGCACCAATCGGTTGTTGACGGAATGTACCTTCCAATTTTGTAGCTTGTCGTCGCAGGATCAGCAATACCATTAAGGTTCCATTTATTAAATATAACATCTGTTCATCATAGATCAATTTCCATACTCCTTCTTTATCATCCCAAAAGCCAAAAGAAGTTGTTATTCCCCCCATTGGCTGTGATAGATATTAAAACATATTATCCAAAAATCATCTAGCGAGAATTTTTTACGAAAACCAATAGGAATAGCAGAAACAACTCGATTTTATTGACGAAGCTAGTCCTAGCAATGGTTTCAGACTTTAACTATGCTGGTTCTGGTATTAAGTGCGTTTAGCTTTCTCATCATTGTGAGTCTTCCACTTCTCTTATTTTTATATTTTATGTTCAGTTATCCGATAATTAATATTGTTTATGGTATTCCTGAACCCTGAATTTTACATGTTTCAGCATGTACAATAAAGAGATTTATCCTACCGAACTGACTTTAAATAAAGCTAATACTAACAATGAACACTGCCCTTTCCTGGATCTTGATATCTTTATCTTTAACTGGAAGCTTAATACCAAAATTTATGATAAAAGAGATGATTTTTCATTTCCTATTGTTAATTATCCATTTTTAGATGGTGACGTTCCCTTGTCCCCATCTTATGGTGTTTATCTATCTCACTTTGTTCGATTCTCTCGTGTATGTAACAACGTATTTGATTTCAACGAAAGAAATCTCTGTATTACTGAAAAATTATTACACCAGGGTTTTCGATATCACAAACTAGTCAAAACATTTACTAAATGTTATCATCGGTACAAGGTCATCCTTCGTAAATATAAATCAACATGAAGACATCTTATACGTTCAGGTATATCACATCCAATATTTCATGGTAATATTCTTTACAAAGCACAAAAATGTTGGCATTCACCTCAAAAGCTAACCTTACCTTTAAACAGACTTATTCGGAAAGGATATAGTTACGATACTGTTGTCAAGTCATTAAGGATTGCATATTTTGGTATTAATATTGATTCACTCATAGGGTCTTTGCATCGGAAATTAACACATTTATAATAAAAACTCCCGCCTGCTTTAATGATTATAATTGATTTTAATGTTGAAATTAATTAAGATAAAGTTCTACCGCATGTATCACACTAGCCAATGTTGAATAAACAAACACACAGCAATTCGCACAGTAAAATTCAGTTTACAAGAAGTCCGAGTCCGGTGTTAGAATAGGTAATAGTAGAAACTAAACAAAATATCAATGATCAACATAAATTATCAAAGGACTTCTAGCAGCTACTGACATGCCAGCTCCAGACCTCAATTAAGCTGATCGAAAGATTATGTCCTTATTATATAAAAATCAAGTACAATCCCTCTCGTTCTGGGTTTGGTGATTCCATCGGAGATGAAACTATCGCCAAAAGTAGAATCAACCAAGAGGAAGTAAAGTTTATCAAAGATGATATGCGTATTATCATTAACATCGCCAGACGCGTGTTTCGTTTACATTTAAAAAAAAGTGACGGAAGTTACCAAAAGGACAATCGAAATTCATGACGAAGAGAAACCGACAAAAACATGTCAAAAATCTAAAAACACAAACAGTCTCAAAACACTATATAGAAAACCAAACACTCGGGAAAATTTAACTATCCCTTTCTCCCCAGTAATAGCTGGCACCCGAATCAAACCTATTCGAAAGCCAAATCAATAATGAAGTTAAAGAGCATCGAAAATCAAAAAGTCTTAAACGGTTGTGTCTAAATATGATAAAGCCATCTATGCCTGCTGGTAAAACAATCTTGTTTTTAAATGATTTAAAAAATTTCTGAACGTTTCATTTACAGAAAATCATTACCGAATCTATATATGATATTCAGAATGCTGATTAATTGGCTGATGATACCATTGGGGAAAAACGTCCATCTGGCTTATAAAACCATGGGGGACGACACGTCCACCAGGCTGATGATACCATCGGGGACGAAACGTCCACCTAGCTTATGATAACATCGGGGACGAAAAGTCCACTTGGCTGATGATACCATGGGGGAGGAAAGTCCAACCGCCTGATGATACCATCGGGAAAAAAATTTCAACTGGCTGATGATACCATCAGGGACGAAACGTTCACCTGCTGAAGATACCATCGAGGACGAAAAGTCCACCTGGCAAATGATACCATCAGGGATTAAACGTCCACCTAGCTGATCATACCATCGGGGACGAAGCGTCCACCTAGCTGATGATACCATTTGGAATGAACGTCCACCTGACTGATGATATCATAGGACTAAAACGTCCATCTGGCTAATGATACCATAGTAGTGGATTCATTTATTTTCGTGGGTATCAATTTTCGTGGATTGCTGAAAACTTGCATATTCGTGGATATTTGATTTCGTGGTTTTGCCAATCTCTGTATACAAAGCCTATTGAAAATATGATATTCGTTGAACATTTGAATTCGTGGTTCACCTTTACCCACGAAAACAACGAAAATTGGTATCCAACGAATAATTATGAATCCACAGTAGACGAAAAGTTCCCCTGGCTAATGATACCACCGTAGACGAAAAGTCCACCTGGCTGATGATACCATCGGGGACAAAAGTGGAAAATGAATTAGTAGCAAGATGTGTGTTTCATCTACAAGAGTCTAAACAGTGGTGCTCGTTTCAAAACAGTGAGGCGTTGAAATTCAATAACAGGGCTGTCAAATCTGACTTAAATTATCTATTCTAGGCTTATATTTTAGGACAATAGACGCGTATTTTTCTACATATTATTCGTCAATGGCGCCTAAATTCTACTGAAAGGGCATGCATAGGTGTATATGTTGCAACCATTAGCGATAAAAGTCTGACAAACGTATTTCTGAAGCAGCCGCCAGTACACAGCTTAGATATAACATCCATATTTTTCGTTATTTATTAACTAACTAATCAACCCGTACAATTTTAACTAGCACACATTGTTTCTATTCTTTTACAAATAGTCTTAAACATATTAACTGTTATCAACCAGGATTTATTTGTTCATTTACTTTGCACAATTAATATATATAGTGGTACAACACGACGGTTTCCTTGCATCATATAAAAATGCATATCTACCAGTGGATACATTGATTGAACTTTCTTATATCCATAGAATTAATTCACCATATCTTTTATAATAATGAAACATTATATGAAATCAATCTAATTCAAGCAAAACAGCTGTATTTGTTGATTAGGAATGAGCACCTAGAATACATATTTATGAATACGGCGTTTTACTGCCATGATTTGTCATAAATAAGATTAATGTCAACATATTATTTCTAATCTTATATTTCATTCATGTCTTTCTTTATTATTTTTGTTTTATATTATGTAACGTGTTATTTTGTTTTCATGTATGCCATCAACCCCATTGGTTATAACAGTGCAATAGTTTCAATAAACTAATTTAATAACCAGCTTAGTATTTAAATAAAAACAATATAATTGTCATATACAAATGAATAAAGAAATCGGTAGAGCCGAACGAATAAAAATTACATATACTAACACATGTCCAATGTTATTATAAAGATTGGGATGACACAAATACGATTATAAAACAACAATGCTATATAACTAGTAGAGAGGTAAATTATATAAGACAAGGGGGGTGGAATTGATAATTAAAATTAAAATCCTTTGGATACATATAATCTCTGTTTTGTACTAGATTGACACGCTGAGCTGGACTTTTAATTAATGTGCTAGAACAAAAGGTAACAGTCCACAGAAAGACATTCCCCTACCCGGACGCATTATTCTGACTCGACCGGGCCGACAAGTCTTTGCCCTTACCCATAAATGTCGCATGCTTAGCGAATAAGTAGCAAATAAAAATTTTCTAGTCCATGGTTTGACACTGGCAGAGGATTAAACAATCATTTCATTATTCTTTATTAACCAAATACAACTTACGTAATTTCTTGTTTAATTTATCAATTGTATTTTTGTATTGGTTTATAAAGATATTCATCAATTAAATTAATATACCATATGACCCTGGTCAAAAACTACTATAGTTTAGTATTTCATGGATGACTACTTCGATATCTGTTTCGTATGAAAATTGATAAGGTGTCATGAAAATTATATTTACATTTCCGATGTATTATAAATAGGTTGAACTTTATTGCATGTATACTTTACAAGGTTCAGTAATCATAAATTATACCAATTGAATTAGTGTATGAAAATGGCAAAATCAATGACTTATTCCAGGAAAAGAAAAACAAAAATAGAATAAAAGGAAAGATCTTTGTTGCTTTTTAATATACTTTAAAGGCAAGAAGTTTCCTTGAAACTTTATTTCATTTCTAGCCATCGAATAAAGAGGTAAGGCATAAACATTACTTAGATTATATTAATTAACACTGATATGATATAATTGAATAGCTAAATAGCATTGTCAAATTAAATAACTAAATATTATTATTTGTTTAGTTTATTCAAATGCATTAAAAACTATCCTGAACTGCATAGGAAAAGGGAAGAACCCCCAAGGAGTCATTAAATATATAAAGTAATAGGCAGAAATACATAACCCCAAAAAGACAAAACAACATATCACAAAAACATTACGAATAAATCTAGTTTTTAATATTGGTAAAAGCGAACCTAACTAAAATTAAGACTGTTGATAATCCTGTAGGGAAAGCAAAAAATTGCGATTCATTCTTCTTGATAAATATCGTCTAGGAAAGTCCAATTCAATCACTTAATATGTAATAATTTCAGTAAAAACTACTCTAATGAAAAAGAGAAGAACTTCAAGTGACGATTTAACTAGTTTCAAAGTTAGCGCAACAAGTCTTACTAGTAGCCTATCATAATCTTTGCAAACACATACACTGGATTAATATATTTTTTTTGTAAGTTGAATTATTCTTTAAGATTTTATTTTGTAACTTTTCACATAAAACAAAATTATCTAGCTTGGTACACTTATCTAACCATTTTGATGATCTATTTTAGTTTGTGAGGTATAATGAAATTTGTTTGTTTCATATACTTATCTAATTACTGGTTGGTTGTCGTTTAGAGAAAATGACAACAGACACACAGCGCATTAAATTTCTTGCGAGATGGGACACAATCATCCAAATTTTTCAGCTTAGAAAACAAAACAAAAATTAAAATGTAAAATAAACCTTTTGTACACCCCTAAAGTAATCTACTGGTACACAATTTTAACAGCTGAGACACAAAGTGAACCTTCTGTTACATTTGATATGCTATACATTTAATTATCCAATACCCTATAACTATACCATATTTTTATTTTCAGATAATGCACACTTGAAAATGGGACAACGGTTTGTTCATCTTGCATTAATTGTGATCTTTATTTTGTTCCTTGGCATCATAGCTTTGTTCGCACATTTCATGCTCGGTAATCATACAAAAACAAGACAAGAACGAAAGGTAAAGAAAGGACAATCACTTCATTTTGAACCGATCATCGGAGCTCCGCCAACATTTGGTATCCACTGGAAGTTAAAACATACAAATTCCTCATCGTTTGTGGTATACAATTCATCAAACGACAAATTCATCGTTAAACAGCAAAATATATTATCAATTCGTCTTAAACTACACATCAGGAAAAGTAGAAATACTGTAAATGAGGCATGTCTTCATTACAGTGATGGATGGGGAAAATGTAAAACGGCTTTATTGAAGAAAAATACATACGAAACTCTTCAAATAAAGGATAAGACATTTTTAATGCCAGGATCGTATATCAGTGTGGACATTTCACACCCACGTTATATATCAAGGGGACATAAACTCAATAGTCTCGTAATTTTGCAGTCGTTTTATAGTGGTGTAGAAGAAGACGATGAAATATAACTACCAAAGAAGTGAACCTATTTTGATAATGCTTTTTGAGTAAGATCTGGTTTTTATATAGTCTATTTCTGTTATGTATGTTCTGGTTGCACATTGGCTCCTTTTTGTACATACTTGATTATTGAATATTTCCATTCTTACATTGTTAGATAAAAATTATTGACGTGATGTATATAGAAGACATTTTCTTACCAACACAAGGCTGGAATATTTAAATCTTCTCTATTGGTTTCTAAGATTTCAATTACGAAATGTTGAAAAATGTTAGAGAGCTTGTTATTGAAAAGCATGACATGTCGAATTTTTCATTTTTAAAATAAGAATATGTAGTTTGATACCGAATTCCATCTATTGAAAAAGACTTTTAGATGACTAGTTGATGCACTTGTTGATGATGTCATATACTGTAGTTAGCCCAAGCTAGAAGATTGAAAACTGAACCCTTTATCTGATGAATATATCCAAGCTGTTCTGTTATTCATTCGGAATAGCGTAAGAAACTATAATGTACTATGGACACATTAGTTTATAAACATTGAAGACACATGAGGTTGAAGGTCCTAATCCTCCGTAGCAAACAAATATGTAGTTGTTCCAAGAGACAAGTTAAAGCCAAAAAGAATAACGTTTAGCATGTCTAGTATTCCATTATGATAAATTCGGATTGTTTAACAAAAGTGCGTGGAATTCACAGAAAAAATCTTGGAATCCAACGTGTTCACCTTCAGCGTTCATGATAAAGGGTTTTTTTTTTTACTTTTTGATATCAATATGAAAAAAGAACGATAAAAATATCTCTTTTATTTTTTGGAAAATTCTTATAAAGAACGATATATAGCCGGTGTATCTACTCTAACATGAGCAACACGACGGGCGTCACATGTGGAGCAGAATCTGCTTACCATTCCGGAGCACCTGAGATCACCCCCAGTTTTTGGTGGGGTTCGTGTTGCTCAGTCTTTAGTTTTCTATGTTGTGTTTTGTGTACTATTGTTTGTCTATTGGTCTTTTTTTTATCCAGGGCGTTGTCAGTTTATTTTCGACTTATGAGTTTGAATGTCCCTTTGGTATCTTTCGCCTCTCTTTCAGATCATTCTTATTACAGTTAAAGCTGGTCTTTAAAACTGTTGCAATGGGGTATATTCAACTAGTGATTACAATTAAATGATAATGTTAAAACAAATCTTCAATTACAATAAATAAACACTTTTGATTATTCTAAATTGAACATTACTTTACTTCATTTTCAATTGTACAATCAACTACATCGCTTCAAAACAGATTGCCCTTTTAACAAATGAATGTCATGCTTACATTTATGAAAATACAACTTTGTAAATACCAACAACGAATAAACCGAGGGTGATACCATGAAAATATTGAAATGTTTGATTGACAACATTTTTCTCGAGTTGGATTGATTTTGTAACAAACAGGGGAACAACACGTGGTGGTTGTTGAATATTTTATTTTATATTTTTTTATTGTCTATCGATTTAGACATAACAGGGTCATATAAGGCCAGTAAATGCCGTATTCACAGGTAGCGTGTTTTATTGGTTACCCGTAACTATATGTAGCATGATGAATTGTACTTTTTATGTTTGTAGAAATAGAGGGATGTACATTGTCGATTTCTGTATGATTGTTATAAAAAAATGTTTTAAATGTACTGTTTGTAGACATGTACAGGTATGTGAGGAACTATTACAAAAATATGAAATTAAACTTTGAAATGGTATATTAATTTTTATAAGAAAGAGGATATTAGTTATTGCATTGCTTTAAAAGCTGTGTGGGTTAAAAGACTAGTAAGTGATTGCGAAGGAGATTGTAACATTATACCTCAGTACTATTTCTATAATTTTGGGTCAAACTGGCTAGTGTTTCAAACAAACAGTGGGGATAATCCAGAAGAAAGCCTTAAAAGAATCCCAGATTTTTATAAAACTATACTTAAATGTTGGAAATTACCTGGTGGGGGTCTAACGAGAAAGCCTGAAACATTTACACATATAAGAAAACAAATATTATGGAACAATAAACTTATTAAATTTGAAAATAAAGCTATACATGTAGTTTTAAAAAATTGGACTAAAAGCGATCTTATTTATGTAAATGATATCATAGATGAAAAAGGCTGCGTTTCAAAAGATGTCATTTTGAATAAAGTAACAAAATAAATCAAACTGGATAGCTGAAATTAATTTAGTAAAGAAAACAATACCAAAAGAATGAGCAGCCATCTTAAAGTCGGAAAATTCTATTAAAAGCACTGTTAATATAAAATAGAAACCATTTTATATTGAAAGGTTTACCTATAAAATTAAAATCACTATCAAACAAACTTTTATATAAGTCTCTGATAAATAAAACAAATTGAAACAACTATTGGACCAACAAAATGGCTGAGTATACTTAATATAGATGATGTGTTATATCATAACAATATATATGAATTTTTATTCAAATATTTGAAAGAAAATAAACTTAAAACTTTTAGATTGAAATTACTACAACATATTCTACCTACAAGGAAACTTTTATTCGGGCGAAAAATTGTAAACAATAGTTTTTATAACTTTTGTACACAAGAAGAAGATTAAGATCACTTCTTTATAATGTGTCCATATTTAGAACATTTTAGGAACAAAATACACGAAGTTTTAAAGAGGAGTAAAATAACTTTAAAGATAAAATTAAAACATTTCGTATTTTGATATAAAATTTCTGACGAAGAATATTTTGGCTTTAACTACTTCTTAGCAATTGTTAGTTTTTTAATTTACAAAACGTATTACTAATCTGATCAAAAGACAAAAAAATATCAATGTTTTCTCAATTTTCATTAATTAATTCAATAGAAGAGTAAGTGTGACAATTCCAAATAATAAATTTAGTAACCATAAGAAAACATTTTAATAATTATTATGAATGATATTATTGAATATATATTTATATCATGTAATATGAATTTTACAACTAATTATCTCTCTAAGGACACACCCTTTATTCAAACAATTATAGGAGGTTCACTGACATTTCAAATGAACTAAAAGATACAACTACTTCATAGTTTGTGGTTTACAATTCATCAAACGATAAGCTCTTTGTTTAAAAGGGATACCAATTCAACTTAACCTACAGATCAGTAATAGAACAGTGAATTAGGCATGTGTTCTTTACCGTGATGGCAATCACAAAATGTAGCAAAGTTGAAGAAGACAATGAAATATAATAATTACAAATATGAACTCAATTTATTGATGTATGATTTGTTTATGATGGTTATGATTGTTTGATAGATAGTTATCGATCATCACATTTTGACACTGATCTAATCGCGATGGGTCAATTGTGTCGTGTAACATTTTAACACTGATTAAAAACATCGACTTTCTAAAGTCTGTATCTCGAAAAAGGCTATCATTGTCGCCTATGGGGAAATTAATTGTTTATTACAATCTACATAGATGACTACCTTAATATCTGTTTCGTAGAAAATATGAAAAGATATCATAAAAATAAAACTAACCAAAGTAATCACATACAACAGAAGTATGTCCTAATATATATATATATTACTAATAAGTCTAAATTGAAAACAACGTTCAAACCTATGATTGCGTTGGATAAAAACTGCAATTTTTATACGCGTGCATGTAAAAAAAATCTTGGTAGAGGGGTCTAAATACAGCACAAACAACATTTTCCAAAAGACCAAAAAAGTGAAAAAGTATGTTTAAACAAAACGCATTTGACTAAGAGGTCGAACGACGGATGTTCTAAATTCCTGCCGACTGCTATATTACAAATATATATACAAGTCTAAATTGAAAACAACGTTTAAACCTATTCATATATATATAATATATATATATATTTTCCGCTGTGTTGTATTCAGGTTGAAATTTATTGCATTCTATACTTTACAATGGTCAGTAATCATATATCGATCGAATTATTGTATGAAAATGCAGTGTGCAAATATTTTAAACGGGTTGATATATATAATACTTATTCCAGGAAAAGAGAAACAAAAATAGAATAATAGAAAAATCTTTGTTGCTATCTAATATACTTTAAAGGTAAGAAGTTTCCTTGAAACTTTATTTCTTTTCTAGCCATCGAATAAAGAGGTAAGACATAAACATTACTTAGATTATATTAAATTAACACTGATATAAAATTATTGAATAACTAAATAGCATTGTCAAATTAAATTACTAAATACTATTTTTTTAGTATGATCAAATGAATTAAAAACTATTCTGAACTGTATAGGAAAAGAGAAGAAACCAAAAGGGTCATTACATATATAAAGTAAACGTCAGACAAGCATAACCCAAAAAACAAAACAACACTTTAGTCTGTCAGGTACAATGAAATTTGTTTGTTTTGGTATATTCATCTAATTACATTTTGATAGTCCTTTAGAGAAAATTACAACAGACGCAAAGATCATTAAATTTCTAGCTAGATGGTACAAACATCTAAATTTTTTAGCTTTTTAAACAAAAGAAAAAATCAAAATGTAAAATAAACCTTTCATACATCAAAATAATACATAATCTTAAACAGTCCAAGCTCAAAGTCAAACATCTGTTAGATTCGATATGCTATAATTTTAATTATCCAATACCCTATCACTATACCATATTTCTCTTTTCAGACATAGCAGAATTGAAAATGGGACAATATTTTATTCATTTTACCTTAATTGTGATCTTTATTTTGTTCCTTGGCCTTCTAGCTTTGTTTGGACATTTTATACTCGGTAATCATACAAAAACAAGACAAGAACGAAAGGTAAAGAAAGGACAATCACTTCATTTTGAACCAATCATTGGGGCTCCGCCAACATTTCTTATCCACTGGAAGTTAAAACATACAAATTCTTCATCGTTTGTGGTATACAATTCATCAAACGACAAATTCATCGTTAAACAGCAAAATATATTATCAATTCGACTTAACCTACACATCAGTAAAAGTAGAAATACTGTAAATGAGGCATGTCTTCATTACAGTGATGGATGGGGAAAATGTAAAACGACTTTATTGAAGAAAAATACATACGAAACTTTTCACATAAAGGATAAGACCTTTTTAATGCCAGGATCGTATATCAGTGTGGACATTTCACATCCACGTTATATATCACGGGGACATAACCTCAATAGTCTCGTCATTTTGCAGTCGTTTTATAGTGGTGTAGAAGAAGAAGAATGAAATATAATTATTAAAAATGTGAACCTAATTTGTTAATGCATTATGAGTAAGAATATGATTATGATACGGTTTACTATATAGTCTATTCATGTTATGTTTTTTGTTCTGATTGCACATTAGCTCCTTTTTGTAAACAAATGATTATTGAATATTTCCATTCTTATATTGTTAGGTAAAAATTATTGACGTGATGTATAAAGAAGACATATTCTTACCAACACAAGGCTGGAATATTTAAATCTTCTCTATTGATTTCTCAGATTTCAATTACGAAAGGGTATCAGATATCTTTACCCTCTATAAATAAGAAGATGTGGTATGAGTGCCAATGAGACAACTCTCCATTCAAGTCACACTGTATAAATAGTCAATAATTAAAGCATGTTGTCACCTTCCCAATCCAAATATAGTCTTGATTGTCATGTTGTAACAGAAATACCAAAATTATTGACGTGATTTAAATAAAAGACAATTTCTCTATTGGTTTCTCAGATTTAAATTACGAAGAGGTACTATATATCGTAATTAATCCTCTATGATGTTGTCACCTTCCCAATTCAAATATACTCTTTCTTGGCATGTGGTAAACAAGTTTAACAAAAATACCGAACTTCAAGGCAATAATAAAATGAGAAGACGTAGTGTAATCAACTGAAAAAGAAATTGGGATGACTGGTTGATGCACTTGTTAATTATGCCACATAATGTAGAAAGCCCGAGCTAGAAGTTTTTTTTTAAATCCTTTTAAAGAACGATATATAGCCTGTTCATCTATTCTCCCGATCATTCGTATTACAGTTAAAGCTCTTCGTTAAAACTGTTTTAATGAGGTATTTTCAACAAGTGATGACAATTGAATGATAATGTTAAAAAAGTAAACACTCTTGATTTTTCTAAATTAGTTTTTCTAATATTCGGCTTTTAGCTTCCTGATGAAGGTAAATCCACAAAAGCGCTTCGGACGCATGAAATTTATAACGTGTTGTTTTTCATTTTTTACAGCACTGGGTGGATACGTATCACCAGCTCAGTAGTCGGTACTTAGGTACTGACAAAATTTATAACAAACCTTTCTAAAATTGTCCGTTTATGAATTTTGAAATTAAAAGAAATTAAGGTTTCAATTCCCTCAGGCAAAGTTGAACTTAGATGGATTTGATTATTTTTAGGCTTTTTTATTCATATATCTCTTCAACTGTTTCGGTTCTTATGCATCCTTGGTTTTCAAATATTTAGCTTTGAGCGTTCCCGATGACGGCAAATCCAGAAAATCGCTTTAGGCAAATGAAATTTGTAAAGTGTTGTTTTCATTTTTATAACATTACTTCCCTTTATCTTTAATTGTACGATCTTTTACATCACCTCAGAACAGACTGCCCTTTTACAAAAAAAAATCAACATATGTCATGTTTACAGCCATGTAAAATAATAACTTTGTAAAAATTCTCATTGATTCCAACAACACATTCACTGAAGGTTATAGCATGAAAATATTGAAATATTTGATCGACAACCTATCTCTCGAGTTTATTGGATTGACATTTCGACAAACAGGTGTATTCATTTTGTATCAAATAAAGAAGAAATTCATGCAAAACGTTCTTGATGACAAAAAAAAAGAATTCACTAAGTTTTTCGTTCAGATCTACTATTGATGTTATGTTATTCAAAATCCTAAATGTAAACGAATGCTTGATTCTCATATAAACCATTGTATTTGACAATAAAGATACTACCGAAACAAGCAGCTCTGTAGATATATAGGTCTTTTTCCTTTTTTCATAAATTTTACACAGGTGGACATACCTTCTGCTACCCCTCTTTGACGTTTATATAAATTCATAAAGAGATGACCCGCATGCATGCTCACATTAAACGAGCTTCATTACCAAGTCGTAAATTACGCCCTCCTTCTCTTCCCAGCAGGGTTTTGAGGAAGAACTACTAAAATCGTCATTTCACAAGTTTGTCCTAATGGTAAAGATGAAATTATTCCTTCGAATCTTTTACGGACCAATGACGACAGATATATTCAAAATATTCGTCGCTACAATTCATTCTCTTTTCCACGACTGTGATGTCACTGAATGACACTAATCACGTAGCAACACGACGAATACCGCATGCGGAGAAGGATCTGCTCACCCTTCCGGCGAATTTGAGATTACCTTCGCTTTTTGTTTATTTTTTGTTTTTTTTTGTGGGGGTCGTATTACTGAGCCTTAAGTTTTCTGTGTAGTGTTATGGACTGTTGTTTTTTTTTCTTTTCGTTGTTTTTTTGTGTTTTCTTTTGCCATTTTGTTGTCAGTTTTTCGTTGATTATGATTACGTACTTTCCCATTATATCTTCCACCTCCTTAACGGTCACCGAAATGGTTGATTGTTCCTCATGAAAATGCCAATTTTGAATATCGGCTAACTACTGTTTCCTCCTATTTTCCTAGTATTTCTAAATTGAATGGAATACCATGAATTGAATCAAGATAGATTCGCTTTGGGAATATTTTGATGATTTTTAAGTTAAGGTACATTAGCTGGGGTGTCTTCCTCCATCTTGGATTTTGAAATAGCAGATAACAATCGATCTATATCTTTATTGAAATGTACACATTTCGAGAGTAGTATGTAATTCCTGTGTAAGACTTTTCATGTAACTATAGAAATTATGTGTTTTATCATATTTACGGCTGTCTTTTACAAAAAAACAAAATATTTTTGTTTGATTCATTTTTTTTTTTTTTTCAACTTTGCCACAAAAGGGGAGATAACTCAGATAAAGTAACTTTTATAATAGAATGTGTTGTGAATTTACCTTTTGTATTATGTAGCAAGAAAACGAGTCCGGTGACCCCATTTTTTCTTTTTTTTATCTGAAAGTATATTATTAATGCTATCTTTTCATATTTTATCTTACAATTCTATGGTGTAATATTCTTTTTATCACACAAAATTGTGTTTTCCATGGATAATCTGACAATTTTGCACAACCTGTGGCGTGAAAAAAAGCCCGGTGACCCATACTTTTTATTATAATTTTGAAAAAAGCATGATATAAACTACATTTGTACAAATTATTAAAAACTATGCATATTAATTAAGACCCCCTATCTACCTTAAGTTGAAAGTAAATTATTATATTGGTATAGTGGATTTATAGTTAGAAAAATTGGTTATTAAAACAAAATAACACTAGGAATACCAACATTGATGATCAACATAAGAACTGAAGGTAGATAGAGAGTTGAAAGATACCAAGGGAATAATCAATTATTGGAAGGGGGTCTCAACATACAAACTTGGGTATAGACGTACGCGTCCGGCTGGAGTTTGAAGATAATCCCATTCATATATAGTGATTTACGCGGAAATCTCTACTCATTCACATAATTCATTGAATAATCAACACCTAAGTATATATATATTTCCCAGCTATCATGACATCTTATATAGACGTTAACCGCGAGAGATGATTCATAGTATTAGACAAATAGATTAGAACACAGTTTTGACAGACATCTTAGCAGAAGATGAACATTTTTTACCCTTTGACATATAAATGTCTAAATATGATAACGCCATGGCAAAGAACAAAACAAGCCCAATACAACAGTATCCTGAGATATATATATATATATATAAAATCTAAGTATTTGGCATATATCTAAAAAAACAAACATTCTTTAGACGTGCAGTAATATATTATATTGATCTTGTAACAAAAACAGATTACATACGGATTTCAATTTACAAAATCGTTCAAAAGCCTCGATTTATTGCGAAATTTGATACCCAACATATTATATAATTATATAATTCATTTAAATATTTTCTCAATACAATAACCTATATATAAAACGGCTAGTTTATTATGTCATATAACTGAATACTGATATTGTAAAACTGATAACCCTAGATGAATGATTACTCTGTAGATTTAAATAAACATAATCAAATAAGCACTTGAAACGTTTCAAAAAGATATATATACCTATAATTTCTACCTAAAACTACATTTCAGAAATTGACGAATGTTTTGAACATATATTTTCCAGGAACGTTTTCTTTTGATGTATTTTCTTTTGGTACTTTTATGATAGTATATGATATGTATGTTTTTACGTTTTTGTAATATAATTCCCCGCAAATCATTTTACTCATTAGTTTCTAGATAATTCACCAGAATAAAATCAAGAAGATGGAAAATATTGATGTAAGACAAACAATCTCGTGAATTTTGTTAAATGAACCGTATGAGTTCACTGCGTCTTGTTTGTTTTGTCAAAAGTAAAGTAACAAAAATACCGAACTCCAAGAAAAATTCAAAACGGAAAGTCCCTTATCAAATTGCAAAATTAAAAGATCAAACGAATGAAAAACAACTGTCATATTCCTGACTTGGTACAGGCATTTCCTTTTTAAGAAAATTGGTGTTGAATAGAACGATACGAATTTGTTAAAATATTTTTGTTGTTGGATGGAGTGAAGTCAAACATTGCAAAGATGTCAAATCCTTTCAATGGAAAGTAATATTTTATTATATCATAAAGTATATGTTATGTGTATTAACGGTTTTTAAATAAATTATTTGTTGGAGTATCTTGGTTCTTCTTTGGAGTATACAACTTTTTTATTGCAATGTACGTATCCTATGTTTGATATCTTATTTTGATTGTTTGATTACAAAAGTGATAAAAGTGCCTCAAACTGACTTTTACCAACAATGGTAGTCTTATTCATACACTAAAAATACATCCTTCCTTTATCATTATCAGTTCAGCACTCAAATATTTCTCAGATATTTTGCTTCATTATTGATGTGAGAAATTATGGTTCCAATGAAAATTCGCAATATTTGCAAAAATACGCTTTTTCATCATTGACACGAGATGATCCGTTTTATGTTTTTTTCTTCATTTATGGGACCTGAAGTGGTGAAGGATTGTAAAACTTTGCTATAAACTGCTGTGCTACTCTATAAATGTTACCCTTATGGCGTAAAATATCCCTATTTCTTTCGAAAAACAAAATTGAATAAAAGAGAGGCGGAAGATACATCATAGATATTCAAACGCATAAGTCGATTACAAACTGAAAACGCCATGGCAAAACAAGAACAAAACGACAAAAAGACAAACAACAGTAAAACAAAACACAATATAAAAAACTGACTGAGCAAAAAGAACCCCACCAATTCAAAAGCCACAGGTGCTCCGGAGGACTAAGCAGATCATATTGTACACTACCAAGAAATTATATCACATGTTTATTGTTCATTTCTACCCTCTTGTAAATCAGTACTGAACGGCTACATGAAAAATTGTAATGTTCTACTTTTGGTAAATTCAGTACTGATTTTCTTAGTTCTGTAACAGTTCTGATTGTTGCTGTACTGTAACATTACTGATTTTTTCAGTACTGTAACAGTGCTGATTTCTACAGAACTGTAACAGTACTGATTTTTGCTGTACTGTAACAATACTGATTTTTCAGTAGTGTAACAGTACTGATTTTTGCTGTACTGTAACAGTACTGATTTATTCAGTACTGTACCAGTACTGAATTCTACAGTACTTTAACAGTACTGATATTTACAGTACTGTAACAGTACTGATTTCTACAGTACTGTAACAGTACTGATTTCTACAGCACTGTAACGGTACTGAGTTTTTCAGTTCTGTAACAGTAGTTTTTTTCAGTAATGTTTCAGTACTCATTTTTCAGTTATTATTGCAGTACTCCTTCTAGACTGATTTATTTAAGTAGTGTTTCGATACTTACTTTTGATTGCTGTTCCTTATTGATATCTCATCTTGTTGAAGTCACTCTTTTGTGAAGTCTTTTTTTTTGTTAGTTTAATATTCCATAACGATAAATAAAATTAAGGAGATGTTGTATGATTGCCGATAAGACAACTATCCACTAGATAGACAATTAAAATGTGGATATTAAGTACTCTTTTGTTAATTCAGATCATATATATCCATGTTTATAAATTGAGTAAATACTCCTTGATGTTGCAAAATAAAATAGCATCTGTAGGATTTTTGAAATTACACATCACATTAGAGTTCCAGCGATACTTAGGTACGACCAATGTTAATCTTTTTTTTTTTTTGATAATTGTCTGAATAAGGTTTGTCTAGGATGGGTTATAGAACGGAGAATGGAAACGGGGAATGTGTCAAAGAGCAGAAAAAACAACCCAAGGCTACCGATGGGTCAACGCACTAGAAAATCCCACACTCGGAGTCGGGCTTCGTCTGGCCCCTAAACAATAATGTATACTAGTTCAGCGAAATGGACTCCACACGAAACTCCGAAACATACAAATGAACCAAAATTTAAAGAAAAACACACAAGACTAGCAAAGACTAGAGGTCCATGACTTGGGACAGGTTCAAAATGCTGCAGGGTTAAGCATGTTTTGTGAGATCTCAATCCTCCCCTTTACCTCTAGTCAATGTTGAATAAACAAACACACAGTAAATCGCACAGTAAAACTCAGTTTAAACGAAGTAGGAGTCAGATGTTGGAATAGGTAACAGAAGAAAACTAAGCAAAATGACAATGACAAACATAAATTTACAGAGGGCTACAAGCAGTTACTGACATGCAGCTCTAGACTGCAATTAAACTTATTGAAAGATTATATCTTCATTATATGAAAATCAACCACAATCCCTCCCGTTAGGGGTTAATTATCATGCCATCATAAATCATACAAGAAGAGCATAGCCAGTATCATGACAACAACTGGTTTTAGAATAAATGTGTTTATTTCCGATGCAAAGTCCCTATGAATGAATCAGTATTGTTCCCAAAAAATACCCTTATTCATGCAGTAACACTTTATCTAAACCAAAATTTAATCTGACATCATATGCAGTTGTACAAAAATCAGAAATTTGTCAACATGAAACCCTGAAGTGGTTCTGTTCTGTATACATGTAAGTCAGTTCATATGCAATACAATACTCAATTCCCATCTCCTGCAAACCGAGTATGATATTTTGTACAGGTTTTCAATGAACAGCTATAGCGTAGATGACATTTAGCAACAAATTCCTCCAAAACCTTTTCTTAGAGTCTAAAACTTGAAGTGATCCTGGTGTGAGCTATTGCTCTGTGTTAAAATCATCACTCTGGTTTTGTGTTTAATACAAAGAGCAGCAATAAAAACCTGTTCCTTTGCTTTGTTTTGTCATGTTTGTGTACATAGGGATTTCTTTTATGTCATGAAGTTATACGCTATATCAAATCTTTGCTATTTCAGATAACTTGAGTTATCTGTTCATAGTATTCATTTGTGTATTGTGAATAGTATCTGCATTGAGAGTTACTTCGGTGTGAACAAATCTTCTTTATATCTGCAATCTGTCCTATTAACCTGAACTGCAGAGAATATTTAACTAAAAAATACATGCAATTTTGTGTTAGAATATATAAGTATCCTGTAAACGGGAAGTTGAAGGAAGGTGAATTTTAAACTGCAGTACTCAGCATGGTCACATGAAGACTGATGACTTTCATGAAACTCTTGATTTAGTTCCTCAGAAAATGTGATGGATTTGCATATTACAGACGGACATACAGAGATTAAACAGTATAAAAATTTAAATACTGATGTCCAACAGACTAATTAATGTCGGAAGGATCTTATTTAGTACATCTTTTAACTTTTTTTTTTTGAACATAAATGCAAAAAAAAAAGACCTTGTCATACCTTGTCCTTTCATGAAAAATTACTTAATCAATTATACTTCACCTTACATGAATTTGAGTTAATTTTTGAAAATTTTTCAATACTAGTACTGACAAAAGCTCCTGTTGCAAAACGTCAACATAGTGAATCCACATTATCATGATTACTATTCTTACTTCATTCCTGACAATTGTAGTCAGGTGGCTATATTTGTTGACCATTTAAATACATGGTTTGCTTATCAACATTGACTTTTTCTTACTGAATAAAACAAGATAAGTATCTCAAATGTTTAATTTTCTTTTATATACTACAATAACCTCTATTGCAAGTACAATAAAAAATAATCTTATAAATGAACAGCATGAATTGAAATTGAGCAGTTACATAATGTTTTTTCTATCTCTCTCAATTTGATGTTTTTAATCACTGTTTTCTTCAGTCTGCTTCACTGTCATTTTCACTCCTCTTCCAATGCTTATGACATATATCTTTGCCAACGTGTATCTTAAAAGGGAAAAGTGCATAATAACACTATACAGATATCAATGTTATCATTTTTTCCAAGTCCAATAATTAGATCAAATATAGGTCAACCATAACAAAATGTGTACAATATACATGCATTGCTACAGGTGGTATTACGTGAATACAAGGTTCATATTATACATGGAGAAAAATTAATAAAGAATTGAATAATGTATGATTTACTTACTTAAAAACTGATTTAATATGATTTTGAGAAGAAATTTAAAGCCCCAAGTCTGAGTTGGCAAATTTCAATGTTTTCTATATGGGCTGCACTCTTACATCCCACAACCAAAGCAAGCTCTAAAAAGGCTGTCAGACATCATAGCTATATCGGATTTACTGGTTCTTTGTTATTTATTTTGATTTTTAGACCTCTATAGTTATTTGGATAGGTCTTCGTTTCCTTTCTTGAAAATAGGAAAAAGTATAGCACTAGCCCAGCTAGTAGGAAATATTCCGGATTGTTAAATACCATTAAAAACCTTGACTAATGTGGGTACAAACACATCTTTATACTCAATAAAATGTTCATTCAGTATACTGTCTACTCCGTGACTTTTATTGCTTTAAATTGCGAATGGCTTTTAAAATCTCCTTCTCTGTAATTTCTTCTTCAAGTTCAGGATATCCACAATCGCCGTCAGTGTTATCAAATAAATTATTGTCACTTGTCTATATCAACCGAAGATAATGTCACGTGTATTGTCTATACTCACCGAAGACAATGTCACGTGTATTGTCTATATTAACCGAAGACAATGTCACGTGTATTGTCTATATTAACCGAAGACAATTTCTTAAAATATTCATAGAAAGAATGTCACGGTACATTATTTTTCCTTTGGGTCATTTTTAACTCCCAAACAAAGTTTGAGAAGACTTATTGGTTTTGATCAGTTCTTATTATTTTTATTCTTCTTCCGCCGCTTTTAAATTTGAACTTATCCACATCCGTTCTCCAAAACCGCTAGTTAGATTAACTTAGGGTTTCACAATATGTTAGACTAACATTTCTAGTGGTGCAATCAGGGTTTTGTTTGTGCAATAGAGTTTATAATGGGGTACTTTGAGGGGCAAAAAGGAAGGAGGGTTAACTATAGAACCCTATGGGATGTTATTTTTTTTTATTTTCAAATGATTAAAACAGTTAGTGATAGACACAATCTTTATAATTGAAAATGTTCTAAATGTTAAAGCACATTAAATGAAACAAAAGGGTAGTCCCAAGGGGTTACCCCACCACCTGCCATTAGAGAAGGTTTTCTTGGGAGAGGTCAAGATCCCCACCCCTAAACCATATATATTTTGGTTTACAGAGTTAGTCCCCAGGGGTCACCCCCACCCCCTTCCATTTGAGAAAG